TGGTGCGAATGTGAGTGCGGTGTGAGTGCGATGTTAGTATGGTGCGAATGTGAGTATGGTGTGAATGAGATGCGAGTACGAGTGCAACGCGAGTGTGAGTGTGGTGTGGGTGTGGTGCGAATGTGAGTGCGGTGTGAGTGCGATGTTAGTATGGTGCGAATGTGAGTATGGTGTGAATGAGATGCGAGTACGAGTGCAACGCGAGTGTGAGTGTGGTGTGGGTGTGGTGCGAATGCGAGTGCGGTGTGAGTGCGATGTTAGTATGGTGCGAATGTGAGTATGGTGTGAATGAGATGCGAGTACGAGTGCAACGCGAGTGTGAGTGTGGTGTGGGTGTGGTGCGAATGTGAGTGCGGTGTGAGTGCGATGTTAGTATGGTGCGAATGTGAGTATGGTGTGAATGAGATGCGAGTACGAGTGCAGCGCGAGTGTGAGTGTGGTGTGGGTGTGGTGCGATTGTGAGTGCGGTGTGAGTGCGGTGTTAGTATGGTGCGAATGTGAGTATGGTGTGAATGAGATGCGAGTACGAGTGCAACGCGAGTGTGAGTGTGGTGTGGGTGTGGTGCGAATGTGAGTGCGGTGTGAGTGCGATGTTAGTATGGTGCGAATGTGAGTATGGTGTGAATGAGATGCGAGTACGAGTGCAACGCGAGTGTGAGTGTGGTGTGGGTGTGGTGCGAATGTGAGTGCGGTGTGAGTGCGATGTTAGTATGGTGCGAATGTGAGTATGGTGTGAATGAGATGCGAGTACGAGTGCAGCGCGAGTGTGAGTGTGGTGTGGGTGTGGTGCGAATGTGAGTGCGGTGTGAGTGCGATGTTAGTATGGTGCGAATGTGAGTATGGTGTGAATGAGATGCGAGTACGAGTGCAACGCGAGTGTGAGTGTGGTGTGGGTGTGGTGCGAATGTGAGTGCGATGTTAGTATGGTGCGAATGTGAGTATGGTGTGAATGAGATGCGAGTACGAGTGCAACGCGAGTGTGAGTGTGGTGTGGGTGTGGTGCGAATGTGAGTGCGGTGTGAGTGCGATGTTAGTATGGTGCGAATGTGAGTATGGTGTGAATGAGATGCGAGTACGAGTGCAACGCGAGTGTGAGTGTGGTGTGGGTGTGGTGCGAATGTGAGTGCGGTGTGAGTGCGATGTTAGTATGGTGCGAATGTGAGTATGGTGTGAATGAGATGCGAGTACGAGTGCAACGCGAGTGTGAGTGTGGTGTGGGTGTGGTGCGAATGTGAGTGCGGTGTGAGTGCGATGTTAGTATGGTGCGAATGTGAGTATGGTGTGAATGAGATGCGACTACGAGTGCAACGCGAGTGTGAGTGTGGTGTGGGTGTGGTGCGAATGTGAGTGCGGTGTGAGTGCGATGTTAGTATGGTGCGAATGTGAGTATGGTGTGAATGGGATGCGAGTACGAGTGCAACGCGAGTGTGAGTGTGGTGTGGGTGTGGTGCGAATGTGAGTGCGGTGTGAGTGCGATGTTAGTATGGTGCGAATGTGAGTATGGTGTGAATGAGATGCGAGTACGAGTGCAACGCGAGTGTGAGTGTGGTGTGGGTGTGGTGCGAATGTGAGTGCGGTGTGAGTGCGATGTTAGTATGGTGCGAATGTGAGTATGGTGTGAATGAGATGCGAGTACGAGTGCAACGCGAGTGTGAGTGTGGTGTGGGTGTGGTGCGAATGTGAGTGCGGTGTGAATGCGATGTTAGTATGGTGCGAATGTGAGTGTGATGTGAATGAGGTGCGAGTACGAGTGCAGCATGTATGTGAGTGTAGTGTGAGTGTGGTGCTAATGTGAGTGCGGTGTAAGTATGGTGTGAATACGTGAGCAGCGCAAGTAAGTGCGGTGTGAGTGCGGTGTTAATATGTTGTGAATGTGAGTGTGATGCGAGTGCGAGTGTGAATGTGGTGCGCGTGCAAGTGTAGTATGATTATGGTGCGAGTGCTGTGTAAGTGTAAGTGCGGTGTCAGTGCGGTGTGAGTGCGAGTATGAGTGCGGTGTGAGTGCGATGTTAGTATGGTGCGAATGTGAGTATGGTGTGAATGAGATGCGAGTACGAGTGCAACGCGAGTGTGAGTGTGGTGTGGGTGTGGTGCGAATGTGAGTGCGGTGTGAGTGCGATGTTAGTATGGTGCGAATGTGAGTATGGTGTGAATGAGATGCGAGTACGAGTGCAACGCGAGTGTGAGTGTGGTGTGGGTGTGGTGCGAATGTGAGTGCGGTGTGAGTGCGATGTTAGTATGGTGCGAATGTGAGTATGGTGTGAATGAGATGCGAGTACGAGTGCAACGCGAGTGTGAGTGTGGAGTGGGTGTGGTGCGAATGCGAGTGCGGTGTGAGTGCGATGTTAGTATGGTGCGAATGTGAGTATGGTGTGAATGAGATGCGAGTAAGAGTGCAACGCGAATGTGAGTGTGGTGTGGGTGTGGTGCGAATGTGAGTGCGATGTTAGTATGGTGCGAATGTGAGTATGGTGTGAATGAGATGCGAGTACGAGTGCAACGCGAGTGTGAGTGTGGTGTGGGTGTGGTGCGAATGTGAGTGCGGTGTGAGTGCGATGTTAGTATGGTGCGAATGTGAGTATGGTGTGAATGAGATGCGAGTACGAGTGCAACGCGAGTGTGAGTGTGGTGTGGGTGTGGTGCGAATGTGAGTGCGGTGTGAGTGCGATGTTAGTATGGTGCGAATGTGAGTATGGTGTGAATGAGATGCGAGTACGAGTGCAACGCGAGTGTGAGTGTGGTGTGGGTGTGGTGCGAATGTGAGTGCGGTGTGAGTGCGATGTTAGTATGGTGCGAATGTGAGTATGGTGTGAATGAGATGCGAGTACGAGTGCAACGCGAGTGTGAGTGTGGTGTGGGTGTGGTGCGAATGTGAGTGCGGTGTGAGTGCGATGTTAGTATGGTGCGAATGTGAGTATGGTGTGAATGAGATGCGAGTACGAGTGCAACGCGAGTGTGAGTGTGGTGTGGGTGTGGTGCGAATGTGAGTGCGGTGTGAGTGCGATGTTAGTATGGTGCGAATGTGAGTATGGTGTGAATGAGATGCGAGTACGAGTGCAACGCGAGTGTGAGTGTGGTGTGGGTGTGGTGCGAATGTGAGTGCGGTGTGAGTGCGATGTTAGTATGGTGCGAATGTGAGTATGGTGTGAATGAGATGCGAGTACGAGTGCAACGCGAGTGTGAGTGTGGTGTGGGTGTGGTGCGAATGCGAGTGCGGTGTGAGTGCGATGTTAGTATGGTGCGAATGTGAGTATGGTGTGAATGAGATGCGAGTACGAGTGCAACGCGAGTGTGAGTGTGGTGTGGGTGTGGTGCGAATGTGAGTGCGGTGTGAGTGCGATGTTAGTATGGTGCGAATGTGAGTATGGTGTGAATGAGATGCGAGTACGAGTGCAGCGCGAGTGTGAGTGTGGTGTGGGTGTGGTGCGATTGTGAGTGCGGTGTGAGTGCGGTGTTAGTATGGTGCGAATGTGAGTATGGTGTGAATGAGATGCGAGTACGAGTGCAACGCGAGTGTGAGTGTGGTGTGGGTGTGGTGCGAATGTGAGTGCGGTGTGAGTGCGATGTTAGTATGGTGCGAATGTGAGTATGGTGTGAATGAGATGCGAGTACGAGTGCAACGCGAGTGTGAGTGTGGTGTGGGTGTGGTGCGAATGTGAGTGCGGTGTGAGTGCGATGTTAGTATGGTGCGAATGTGAGTATGGTGTGAATGAGATGCGAGTACGAGTGCAGCGCGAGTGTGAGTGTGGTGTGGGTGTGGTGCGAATGTGAGTGCGGTGTGAGTGCGATGTTAGTATGGTGCGAATGTGAGTATGGTGTGAATGAGATGCGAGTACGAGTGCAACGCGAGTGTGAGTGTGGTGTGGGTGTGGTGCGAATGTGAGTGCGATGTTAGTATGGTGCGAATGTGAGTATGGTGTGAATGAGATGCGAGTACGAGTGCAACGCGAGTGTGAGTGTGGTGTGGGTGTGGTGCGAATGTGAGTGCGGTGTGAGTGCGATGTTAGTATGGTGCGAATGTGAGTATGGTGTGAATGAGATGCGAGTACGAGTGCAACGCGAGTGTGAGTGTGGTGTGGGTGTGGTGCGAATGTGAGTGCGGTGTGAGTGCGATGTTAGTATGGTGCGAATGTGAGTATGGTGTGAATGAGATGCGAGTACGAGTGCAACGCGAGTGTGAGTGTGGTGTGGGTGTGGTGCGAATGTGAGTGCGGTGTGAGTGCGATGTTAGTATGGTGCGAATGTGAGTATGGTGTGAATGAGATGCGACTACGAGTGCAACGCGAGTGTGAGTGTGGTGTGGGTGTGGTGCGAATGTGAGTGCGGTGTGAGTGCGATGTTAGTATGGTGCGAATGTGAGTATGGTGTGAATGGGATGCGAGTACGAGTGCAACGCGAGTGTGAGTGTGGTGTGGGTGTGGTGCGAATGTGAGTGCGGTGTGAGTGCGATGTTAGTATGGTGCGAATGTGAGTATGGTGTGAATGAGATGCGAGTACGAGTGCAACGCGAGTGTGAGTGTGGTGTGGGTGTGGTGCGAATGTGAGTGCGGTGTGAGTGCGATGTTAGTATGGTGCGAATGTGAGTATGGTGTGAATGAGATGCGAGTACGAGTGCAACGCGAGTGTGAGTGTGGTGTGGGTGTGGTGCGAATGTGAGTGCGGTGTGAATGCGATGTTAGTATGGTGCGAATGTGAGTGTGATGTGAATGAGGTGCGAGTACGAGTGCAGCATGTATGTGAGTGTAGTGTGAGTGTGGTGCTAATGTGAGTGCGGTGTAAGTATGGTGTGAATACGTGAGCAGCGCAAGTAAGTGCGGTGTGAGTGCGGTGTTAATATGTTGTGAATGTGAGTGTGATGCGAGTGCGAGTGTGAATGTGGTGCGCGTGCAAGTGTAGTATGATTATGGTGCGAGTGCTGTGTAAGTGTAAGTGCGGTGTCAGTGCGGTGTGAGTGCGAGTATGAGAGCGGTGCAAGTTTGTGTACGGCGCGAGTGCGGTACGGTGTTAGTGCGGTGCAAGTTTGTATATATATTAGTCATACTGACCGGAGAGTGCGGCGGCTGGTGGTGCAGCTCGGCCACCAGCAGCGACAGCCAGCGCGGCGAGCTCAGGCAGCCGCCCTCCAGGTAGTGGCAGCGCGACTGCATGCACCTGCACACCAACAACACCCACACCCACACCCTTAGCATTATCAAGTTAATTATATATGGTTACATGACGGTAGGTATGAACACTTCAAAAAATCAACTTAGAATAAAAACAGTTAAAGATCATGGCTATCAACTGTCAAAATGACGTCGATAAAACAGCACTCTTTTTTGAACTTTTAATATATGATTGAGTAATGAAGAGCTATTGTATCACTGAGTTTTCTATATACACAAGGCTGTATTTTAAGTTATAAGAATTGACCATATTGATCGATTAGCCATATTACCCTCACATACGCTACTTTATTGTACACCGAAAAATAAGAGAAAAAAAATCAACAAATTATTTAAAGGTACATTTATGGTCTTATCGCTTAGTAGGGATCTCTACTAAGCGATAAGACCTGTGAGAAAAGGTATACACACGACATACATATAATTATATAGGTACATAATATCTTCTTTAATATAAAAATGAATCGCTGAATGTGTTGCTAAGCGCAAATCTCGAGAGCAGCTGAACCGATTTCGCTAATTTTTTTTATAATATTCCTTGAACATAGTTCTTACGGAAAAAAATAAATTGCCTAAAAAAGTCTAAAAACAACACTTTTCTATATTCCCATACAAAAAATGCGTAATAATACTTAAAAGTCAATTTGAACTTTAATACCATAGCATAAAGTTTAAGTGTTAGTGGAGGGGTTCCAGGAGGGCAAAACAATAGAGTGACGGTATCCCGAATAGCAGAATAAGTATTTAAAAAAATTTAAAGAATCGACTGTTAAGTGGTACGAAGTTCGCCGGGTCAGCTACTAATAAATAAGTACATTTCAGTTACAAAAATATAGGAATACATATACTATATTATACAGATACTATCGCTCTGTCACACTACTACACAACAGCCGGGATCTGCCGGCGGAATACAATCCACTGCTCAATACATATAGAGGACAATGAAACAAGAGATGGCCAGCGGTATCTTGTTACAACTTTAAATAATAAAAAATGTCTGACTATAGTAAAATCCCCTATGAGACAATCTGTGGGAGAGATATTTTCAGCAGAGGGTTTTAATAGGCTGTCAAATAATCAGGTAACGGATTAAATTAAAAGTTGACATTAATTTCATTCTTAACTTATCTCAAACAATAAAACATAATAAACAAATAAGTTTTGGATGGAGCTTTCATAAAATATAAAAATATAAAAAATGTTGGCAAATTTGCTTTAAATAAAGGCAAAATTAATTAATTTAAATTGAGCTATTTGTGTCATTACATATATTAAAAATAAAACATTACTATTTTTCAAAAGATATTAGTCACGTTGACTTGTGACAATTGTTATCGGTAATAGAAAACTATATAAAAATAATTGAAGACATCACTAAGTAAAAGGTCGGGGAAAAAGTTTCTTCATATTTTATATACAAATTCAACATATTTTTTTCATAGTTTAATTAAATTTAATTATAAATATATGTGGCATTCTGTTCGATAACTTGTTGCCATCTTGAAGGTAGTGACATAATCTCGTTGCTTTAGAAATCTTCGGATTTTTGATCAAAAAAATGCGACAAGTAGTTTTGACCGTCCTCTCTTGATGTTAACCTAGCACTACCCAAAGAATTCTGAGGAGACCAAAACAGGTGAAAACGGTGCAAGGTCAGGACTATATGGTGGATGCATTAACACTTCACAACCAAGCTCTCTCAATTTTTGCTGAGTGGCTAAAGATGTGTGTGGTCTAGCGTTATCATGATGAAAGACCAATCTTCTTTTTTTATAGAATAAGGGTGACAAACGAGCATACGGTCCACACAGTAAGTGGTTGCTGTTGCCTATAGACATCTACATTAAAAATTGCGAATTAAAATGCAGATGCGTTGTCAGCCGTGAGGACTAAGATAGAATGCCTCTTTTCCAGTAAAAAGGGTCACCGGTTCTCTACACACACCATACGAATTACAGCAGCATTAAACTGCTATTTTTCGCTGGTATTCTGTGAGAGCGACCGGGGAAGGACCACCTTCCCCGGTCGCTCTCACAGAATACCAACCCATTCGTGTTACAACTATACTATTAATGTAGCTGCAGTATGGCTCTACCACGTATAATCTTCAACAGAAAAAGTATTTTTCTGTTGATCGATTCCGGCCGTTTTTCTCAATTTCTTCCTTGAGTCTCATTAGTTATTGGCAGTAGGGATCCGAACCGATGGTTTTGCCCAGCAGTAAAAGCTCATAATAAACGATGCCCTTCCAATCCCAACATACACACAGCATCACCTTATTGCGTGCTAATCCTGATTTCCCTACAGTCTGTGGACCGTGACTATTCTTTGACCATGATCTTTTTCGCATTTTCTTGTCATAGGTAATCTACTTTTCATCACCTGTGTTCAATATTTTCAGAAATGATTTGGTTTCATTACTTTTCAATAGAGAATCGTAAATGAGTACACGATTCATTAGGTTTCTTTCAGTAAGTTCGTGTGGTACGTGTAGACTTTTTCAAATGGATCAAAACTGTTTTGTGGTCAATCCTCAATTCCTCGGCTATGTCGTAACTATTAATTTGCCGATCTTCCTCCACTTTTTCAAAAATGGCATCGACTTTATCCGCATGAGAGCGAGCAGGGCGAGCTGCATATTTGACATCAAAATTCCCGGACTGAAAACGCTTGAACCGACTTTGTGCTACTCTTACTGACATTCGAGTCGCATTTTTCCCTTTTTTGGAAAAAACTTCAGAATGTATCGAATTTCTTCGTTAGATTCACTCATTTTATCGGACAGAAAAACAATTGAAAAATAGCGGGAAAGTGTTTTATTTGAGATTTTTTTTCAATTTTATTCAAACAAAATGCGAGGAAATTTTCCCCGACCTAATAATACATATTTAATTCTCATTTATTTATATAGTTTTCTATTAGCATTGACGATTATACAGGCTGTTCGGAAGTTCGATGCAAAGCCTTGGGGGCGGGGGGTTTGGCAGTACACCTCGTGGAACAAATTTCGAGTTATAGTGAAAAATAAACATGCTTAAGAATTAGAAGTTTTCAGGAAAGTTAAAGTAACTCTTTTACTGATGCGTCTAAAAAACAGCAGACTTGCACATTCAAACATTTTTGAACGAAGTTCTTTCACCAATAAAGAGTATGCTAATATCGTTTTCATGTACGATGAAGCCGATGAAAATGGGTCTTTGGCACGACAATTTTATCTATAACGTTATCCTAATCATGGAGCGCCGAACGTCTAAATATTCTACAACACGTATCGTTGCCTTCGTGAAACTGGAAGGAAACTGAAACTGGAACGCTCGGAACCTGGATCTAATCTCGGTCGACCTGTTCACAAAGAGAAGCATTTGAAAATGATCCTACAACAAGCGTGACAGCAGTATCATGAAATCTTAGCACATCCAAATGAAAAGTTTGATCAACTATGCATTGTGGCGGGAAATATCCCTTACAAGATACATCAGTACAAGGCTTGGAAGATGGAGATCCGGTCCAGAGAGTACAATTTTGTCAATTTTATACCGACTTCAAAAAGGAGGAGGTACTCAATTCGACTGTATGTTTTTTATGTGTGTTACCTCATAACATTTTTCTGGATGAATCGATTTCGATAATTCTTTTTTTTATTTGAAAGTTGGTACTTCTCATGTAGTCCCACATGATATTGATCGCGGTTTGACCAATAGTTTTTCAGTTATTCTTAATACTTCATATTGAAGTCGGTTGTTCAAAATATTTAATTTTTTTATCAAAGATTGGGTATTTTTGGAAAGTGTTCCAGAACCACACCACAATCTGAATGAATGCGCCGATAAAGAAGCAAATTCACATTGGAAGAAACAAGTTTCTTTTGAAAGAAAATTTTCGGTATATGTGTGGGTAGGTGTGATTGGCCACCATTTGATTGGACCTCATTTTCTCCCCGAAACTCTAAATGGAGACAACTACTTAGAGTTTCTAGAAAATGATTTGCCCAACCTGCTGGAGGAAGTACCAATAATGGAAACTGACAAAGAAAACAAAATGATGACTGCCCAGCGCACTATCGAGTTAGAGTAGGGAACATCTAGATAATTGTTTTTCTAACAGTTGGATTGGAAGGGGAGGACCATTGCTCCGGCCTGCTCGATCGCCGGATTTAACCCCTATGGATTTCCATATCTAGGGTCGAGCAAAAGACCTGGTTTACGCTAAAGAAATAACGACTTTGGAACATTTATTCGAAAAGATTAATAAAGTATTTGAAAAAATTAAAACAGAGATGTTATTAAAAAGTACAAGCACTGAAGACTGAAATAGGGCCCGAAAATGTATGAACCAAGGTTCACACTTTGAAAATTTATAATAAATTATTTGATCATAATGTTTTATTTATAAACCTGTTTTTATTACATTAAAAATATTACTACCGGGATTTTTTGTGAAACCGGATTTCGGTTTGATTCAGATACTCTAGTTTTGTGAAGAAATAGGTATCTTCATGTACGTTACACCAATAGAAACGGCTTGAATTGCAGGTGTTTTAAAAATGTTTGAATGTGTAAATCTATTATTGTTTTGAAAAAAGAGTTACTTTAACTATCTTAAAAATGTCTATTCCATCAACATGTCCAATTTAGTCAATGATGTGGATACACTACACAAATACCTAATCAAGAAAAAATAAGGTTTTATGTATGTATGTATCGTTAGGAACAATTACATACCAAACTTTGGGATATTTTTCAAAAATCATAATTTTCACTATTAACTTGAAAATTTAAGACACTAGCCTAGAGTAACCTGTTTAAAAAACGAGGCGGCCTCTCTTTCTTCCCCCCCCCCCCCTTGCAAGGCTTTAAATTGATCTTCCGAACACTCTGTACATACTCGTAGTTAATTTGAGTAACTCCATCGTTTTTAGAAATCATAAAAAGAATGATTTATTTTTGGTAAAAATTTCATTTATTTTTTTATTGCATTTATTTTTTATTAATTATTTTAGCATCAATTTAAAACCTGAATAAAATTTAATTCTGTCCTGTATTTACTCACTCTATGGTTTATACTCATAGATGCGGATTTTAATTAGATTGTCCTACCCTCCAATAATCAATGTGTGGAGGAATTTAACAACGGAATCAAAAGAGTGCGCCAATGTTAGTTAACCCATTCCCTGTGTGACTCACATATGGTTCATTGATATTGTCTTACTGTTGTGTGAATATCGAACAGTGAAGGTGTTAAGAGTCGCACAAATTGGCTCTCTACGCAGCTTATTATACCATCGCAGTTTTTCGCACTGAAGTTTTAATTTTTTAATTTAATGTCTATAGTTATAAGCTTAATTAACGATTCGAATGAGTTGGGAATCGTTCGAGCGAAAGTTGCATGCACCTGGTGCCTCACCGAACGGGTTCACGCCTTGTCTTGGCCGGGAGGGGGCGTGGTGGCATTGCAAGGCGACGCGCTCCCTTCCCTCTGCGGCCAAAAACTTGTTTGGCGGCGAAGCCACAACCCTGATCCGCTACTAGGGTCAAGAAGGCTGGTGCTTACGAGTGTTCGCTTTTTCCTGGCCCCATGGCCTCTGCCTACCGAGCACGAGCGGAGTCGGGGGGGGGGGGGGGGGGGGGGTTACGCAGGTGAAATTAGAGATTACGAAGGAAGCCGCCCCTACTGTTCTGGTGCAGCTTGCCTAAGAAAGAGAACTGGGTGACATTGTTCTTTAATTTTATTTAAAACTTTAATTGTTGAACACATTCGCAAGGCGAGTAGGCATTTCCCCATGACAAAAAGGCACGTACCTGGTGACCTCAACAGTCTGCGTGAAGTAGCCCTCGTAGGGGATCTGCACCACGTAGCGCCACACGCCCTGGTAGTTGCGCGCGAACACTGGGGTCGCGTACTCCACGCGCGCTGGGCACGGAGTCGGTGGGCCCTGTCACATACACCGCACAATCACACTACTTTATTTGACATCCCAATATGAACTGTAAGCAACATCTCATGCATAAATAACAGAGTAAATATACGTATATATGTACAATATGTAGTGATGTACAAATTAGCGTGTGTGTGTGTGTGTGTGTGTGTGTGTGTGTGTGTGTGCACGTGCGCGTATACTTGCCTCGTATCTGGGCGGCGGAGGTGGGGGGGCACCGGGGTCCTCTCGGCGCTCGGGTCCAGCCGAACTGTCACCGTTGATGGCACGGTACAGCATGCAGAACCTGCACGTTCACATTCACATTCAGCGCATCTCTTTACCTCCTTTATATAGACTACCTTACATTACATGTGTATGTATATTCCTAATGTAAGCTACTGCAACGAACATATAATAATAATTTGTTATATAAGTCTAGGGTATTATAACTGCACTTAAAACTACTTATTACCACAAACTTCGATAAGAGAACTGTCGCGTCATGGCGAAAAAATAAAATCACGATTTGATTTTAAAATAATTCTTTATGTAAATAGTTCTTTATGTAGTATTTTACTTTGTAAAAAAGGACTATCAGAATTCTTGTCATTTAATAACAAATAGACTTGATGAAACACTTCTTAGCACTCCAATGCCCTCAAATTTTATGTAGGTTCTGTGGCGACGATATCGTCGCACTATAAACGAAACAAGACCGAAACCTAAATCATGCTATCGACGCTCAGTACTCTGAAGTATTAATATTTTATAGGGTAGCTCCGAACATTGACCACCCCTCCGGGCTGTATACCTGGCTCAGTGGGACATTTTCCCTTTTTTCACGGCCATAGTTATCTTTGCGAACTGTCTTTTCCTATCACATGCTTTATCTGTATCAACCGTACGCGGGATTATGCTGTAGTCAAAATCACCCAAAAACTTCGCAATGTGACGCACTAGCATTTTATTATGCAGAATTTTGTTAAACGAAATACATATTTTTAACATGGTAGAGCCGTGCTGCAGCTATATTAGTAGTGTAGTTGTGGCACGAATGGGTCAGCTCAACCGAGGAAGGACCTCGCCCTCACAGAATACCAGCGTAAAATAGCAGCTTAACACTGCTGTGTTTCGTATGGTGAGTGTAGAGAACCGGAGACCCTTTTTACTGGAAAAGAGGCATTCCATCTTAGTTGTCACGGGTGACAACGCATCTGCATTTTGATTCGCAAACAAGGATAAATGTAGATGTCTATGGGCCACAGCAACCACGTACCATCAGGTGGACTGTGTGCTCGTTTGTCACCCTATCCTATAAAAAAAAACTATAAACGAAAACGAACCGAAACCAAAATCACGCTATCGATGCTCAATACTTTGAAGTACTAATATTTTATAGGATAGTTCCGAACAGTTACCACCTCTCCGGGCTGAATACCTGGCTCGGTGGGAGATTTTCCCTTTTTTCACGGCCAAAATTATCTTTCTGAACAGTCTTTTCCTATCAATAAGTTACTTTATCCGTATCAACCGTCTGCTGGTTTAAACTGTTGTCAAAATCTTCCAAAAACTTCGCAATGTGACGCATCAACATTTTATTTTGCAGAATTTTATTAAACAAAATACATGTCAGACTTGGATGTATGGCCTTAAACTTTTGCCTACGTTAATTGTCGAATCATAACATCAAACTCAAACCAACAATTCAAGTAAAGTCAAATGTCAACAAGACATTTGGCGGGAACTTGACCGGCGGCGATTTGCTGCTCCTGTATTATAGTTTAAATAATAGTTTGAAGTGGAATTTGATATGTAAAAGTGGTGCGATTTTATGTATTAACTGTCTACGCATGTGAACTATTAGTGGAAACGGTGAAACAAGTGCTCTGATGGTGATGGATTCTCAAGATAAGCTGTTTGTTTGCATAGGCACCTTTAGACTGTCAGCTGTCTTCTGGCTCAAGTTGCCGTCAAAATTTCTCAAGGGCTGCACAATGTGACGCATCAACATATTGTGAAGCAGTGGAATTCTATATACTCAAAATAAAAAAGGCAAGGCTGTATGGCATAGTTCCTTTGCCTGCTCTTTCGAGCGATAAATAAAAACAACAACAACAAGTGTCAACATTCAATAATAACAAACTTCAACTACAATCAATCAGCCCGCAAACATCGCAACATTTTTCACTTTATAGGTTAGAGTTAGAGCTTGCAATATAGATTACTATTGTCAAAAGTCGCGGAAAATTCGGAATAAATGTATTCTTTTAACAATACTATATTAAAATGTCTTCAGCTCTTGTAAGACAAGCACTCGCATTCGTTGAGGGAGAAGGTATGTTAGTGAAATTTTATAATAATATTTCACAAATTAATGTTGTTCGTATGTAATAAAGCTAAATGTGTGTTTCAGAAAGTGGACGGAAGAAGCGTCGAAACAAATCATCTCAACTTCAGGGGTCGAAAGTTCAAGGTTAGCATAATGTGTAATATTTTGCAATCAATTGCAAGGTTATACAAATTACAAATTGTAATATAAAAGTATAGTTTAGTCGGTAGAACGTTCATTGTGCTAACCATTACTTGTAATAATTAGTTATGTCAAGTAATAAAGTAATTACATCTTGCTTACTTTTAGAGTAGACAGTATTTGCTTAATTGAGAAAGAATTAAAATTGTAATTAACATTTTCATTCTAGATTACAATCATCCATACAAACGTAAAAGCAAGAAAACATTTAAAGTAACACACAAATCTGAAGAAGAAACCGCTGAAGAAAATATCAGAAAATTATTAGCCCTTTCTGAACCTGCTGCTAACAGTAGTATTGCAGAAAAAGTAAGTTTTGAGAAATATACTACACTTTATATATAAATGTGTAAGCTCTCTGGGGAACAAATTAGTCATACTGATGAGGAAATTAACAATGTAATGTAATGATGTGGGCCATTTAATGATGTGACTTGTACAAAATGTAAGAAACACTAGCTGTCTGTACCTAATCTCTTTAGTAGTTCAAGGGCAACTAACTCACTCATGCTGGCCTTTATTTTTCATTGCTTGTAAACATGGATAGAACGACAAAAATGAATACTAGCTAGATCGATTTATCACAACCGAAACCCCCAGCATACTAAATATCATTAAAATTGTTGAAGCTGTTTCTGAGTTTCCGGTTATATATATACATACTGTGATTGTTATGGGTATGCAATTTAGAACATTATTTTATGAACAAAATGAGATTATTTTTTTCCACTGGCACCAACTTGGGTCTGGCCATAGATTGCTTCATTAGGGGGATATTGCCATAATTCTCTGGTTGAACTTGCTTGGTGGTGGAAGAAACCTGCATGTGTAAGCAATTATAACTATCTTGAGGACATATTATGAAGTTTGTCAAGACACAATGTGTTAGTGTAGGATATCTTTACCTGCTTTAAAAACCTTCTCAGTAAGAAGAGGCTTTCTGTATCCAGCTGTAAGACATGTCATACAAATTGTAACTTTGCCAATTTAACCCACTTGCTCTGATTTTAAATTTGCATAACTAAAAGTTTGTGTTACCGTTTATATAACATATTATATAATTTAAATTTTTTGTCTGTTTCTTTCTGACCTCCTATAGACATAATGGCTTGATGGATTTTGAAGTATTAAATGTTATTAGACTTGCCTTCATGTCCATACATGGCTTGGATTATTTGCTCGTACATCAAAAGATATCCAATGTACGAGGCTACATATTACTATTGTACAATATCAGTAATAGTTCTTTTACAACCTCTTAACATAAAAATATATTTCTTACTCTTTACCAAATAATTGTTTTACTGTTTTGTTACATGATAAGATAAGAACATGTCTTGCATCACTTATGTGTATTGTTTCGGCGTAGCTTAACACATTTTTGCATTTTTATTAGGCCGTCATTTTTTGTGCATAACAAAGGTAAGCAATAAGGATAAGGATTATTGGATTCCCTTTGACAATTTAAACAACTTTAATGGTGTCATTATTTGATGAAAACTTAATATTTTAGACTACTGCAGCTTTTAAATGTTAATTTGTACATTTAGGTGTGAAAATAACATTTATAATTAATAGATTTTTATTACCCTATTATACAGTAATCAAATAATAACATTAATGTATCGATAATGCTTTACGGTTGAGTGTACTTGTTACTGTGCATGTTATGTAATATGCTGTGAAAAAAGTATCACATGTGAGTTATATTATTCTAACCAATAAATAAGGTTTGTAGGTGAGGTTGGTAGGTTAGAATTATCTTATGTGCTATGCAAACTATATACTATATTTTAAGCAAGCAGTTATTGTACAAATTTCTAATATTATTATTATTATATGTAATTTGTTTCCTGGAAACTATTGGCTCCTAACAATTTGAATGAAATTTTGTATTTAGATAATGGTTTACTTTCCACGTTAATTTAGATAGGTGTCATCCCTAAGATTTTTTTTTAAAGCTAACAAGTGGTAAAATCAAAAATTTTGTACAGCTGACTTCAATATAAATTATTAAAGATAACTCAAAAACTACTGGTCTGACCTTGATCAAATTTATATGGAACCACATAAGCACCAGCTTTCAAATGAAAAAAGAATCATCAAATTCGGTTCACCTAATAAAACAAAAAAACACAGTTGAATTGAATACCTCCTCTTTTTTGAAAAAAATTTTTGGTAAAATAGCCTATGTCAGTTGTATATTATAGAGGCATTTTACATACATAAATTGCATATGAACAAACACCCAGATCTGAAACAAATATTTGAATATTATACAAACATTTTGTTTCAAGTGATAATTAGAACTACTTTAGACAAAATGTTTAGTCTCTACCACTACCAAGCTGTCAAAAAACACTCCAAGTACTCAAAACGTCGGGAATATAAAATAAGTTAATATACGCGATAAAATCCGTAAAACTAGTTTTATTTAAAAATGATTTTAGTTTTAATAATGTATTATAATTATTAAATATTTTATACTTTTATTTAATATATTTAATATTTTCGTGTTAGCTAATAAGAAGCTTATGTAATTGTTACAGATTGTAGAGAGGGCAATAAAAGGAAAACCACTAGCAGAGAAAATTGAAATCAAAACTGAGGAGAGCAAATCCATTTTGTTTCCCGAAGAGTCTTTCAAAAGTTTTGAGAAGGAATATTTTTGCAGCTAAAAAATAAATTTATTCAGATTTTATGGATATGCATATATGGACATATCTGATGCGGTTTTGGGAAAATTAATCCTGGTGACAACGGTGACCATCTTTGTAATACTGGTATTTTGGATCAACACTTACCCGTTTATTGACACAGGTGATTCATTAATTGTAGTTGCTTAAAAATTCAATTGTTTGCAATAATTTCCAATGAAAATTTATCTTTAAATAATTATATAAATTTAAAATCTGCTTTGATTGTTTCGTTGGTCTAGTGGTCGGAACCACAATTGCCGATCATGAATTTGGCCAAAATCACTTATTGACACTTTGCTGTCAAGGACTCAATAGCAGCCCAGATTTAGGAACTTGGTAGTGTTTTACCCCCGTACCTCGAAAAGCATGTAAAGGCGTATGTCCCTGTGCCTGATCTCTCTCCGGTCGTGTCTGTTTACCGCCACATCGGACTATGAGAGTGAGGGAATAGAGAGTGCACCTGTGCTTGTGGCACATTTTTTTTATAAGATGGGATGACAAACAAGCACACAATCCACCTGGTGGTAAGTGGTTGCTGTGGCCCATAGACATCTACATCTATTCTCGTTTGCGAATAAAAATGCAGATGCGTTGTCACCCGTGAGGACTAAGATGGAATGCCTCTGTTCCAGTAAAATAGGTCTCCAGTTCTCTACACCCACCATACGAAACACAGCAGTTTTAAGCTGCTATTATATGCTGGTATTCTGTGAGAGTGTGGTCCTTCCCCAGTCGAGCCGACTCATTCGTGCTACAACTATACTAGCTAATCCTGTCCTGCACAGATGGCTAGTCTAGATTAGTACTGGCCACGGTGACTGAAATTAGGTCTGGAGGAGATTATTATTGTATTTAAAATCAACTAACTTATTATTACTTTTTATAATAATAACATAATTACAACGAAAATTTTCCAAACCCACAATTTATTTTATAACCCGTAATAACTTTATAGCTTACATTTGCATTTGTTATCTCTAGTTTATCTCGTTATCGCCATTGTTTATTTAGATGGGAAATGCAAAAATACATGTACTCAGCCACACATTTTATTGTTATTTGTTATTTATTCAGAGGAATTTCGAAAACGCCTTGAAAGGAAAACTGAAGAAGTATTCAATAAAATTAATATTTAATACTTACGAATATTACAAGTATTTTTGCATTTTCATTTGCAAATCAATTTCTTCTAATTCAATAAATATAGCTCATGCTTTTCAATATCGGTAAATTATTTTAAAATTAAATTGTGAATTATTTAAAAAAAATTAAGTTCAATCATTTAAATTTATATATCATAAATATAATATTTTTTCAGATTTAGCAATATATAAATACATTCCGGATCCACAGTGGGTTCTACTATTCTGCGCTATTTGGGGCTTCTTTTTCGTCGGTGGTCTAATGTTGTTCACTCTCTACCACATCTATCCCTACCTGTAATAAGCAATTCACAGAGGACAGCACATAAAGCTGTTACCATGATAGGAGACCAGTCTGACAATTGGATTATTATAGGGGTGTCGGGAGTAACCTGCGGAGGAAAAACAACTTTAGCAAACCAATTGAAGAACACATTAACTCCCGTATATGTGTTCCATCAAGATAAATACTTCCATCCGGATGACAGTCCCCGTCATGTGAAATGTGCGGGGTTAGAACATAACAACTACGACATTCTCTCAGCATTGGATATGGAAAGCATGTACAATGATATAGTAACCACTATTGATGGAGAAGACAGGTCACATGGATCTTTCAGAGAAAGAAGAGAAGGGAGGTTGGAGATTGACGACAAGAGTTTTATAATTGTCGAAGGGTTTACAGTGTTAAATTATGCGCCCATTAATGAAATTTGTGATTTAAGGTGGGTAAATCAGTTTGTATCAAAAGTTTTAAGTATAATTAACACAATGTACAGATATATATTATATTAAGTATGTTAATTTTTTAATTATTCCTGCTTTTGTTGGGATGCTATGCTTTCTATTTATAATACACTAGCTGGTGCCCGGCGTGTTGCAGTCGCTGAAAAAATAATTATGAAAATATCATTTTAAATTTGGAAGAGTTATATTGCTTAGTTAGGAATGATATGACATTCATTCAACATAACTTTCAATTAAATTTGGCAGTACGATAAAGCGCACCACCTACTGTAAGTTAATTGTAATATGACTATAACTTTTGTAAGTGCAAGCAATAAGTTGACAAAGTTTTACCGCAATCTTACGTACGGCATGGCAATGCATAAAATACAAATAAACAAACATTAATTTTTATATATTGGATTATGTTCATATGTAAAATATGTTTATTATGTATTATTCAATAAAGTGAATGTCGTTTATCAGGTATATGTATATAATGTAAGTTATTTGTAGTAATATAATATATTTATATGTGTTTTTATATTTATATTATTTATGTATATATATTTTCATGTTTTATAGCATCTGCTTATGTTTCTCTGCTTAGCTTGTGGTTAAGTGGGAGAGAATGCTTAAAGGCATTAAGTCCGCCAACTGTGCACTATATGTGCAATAAAGATTTTCAAATAAATAGTAGTAGAAATTAGATATTGCAATAAAACAAAGAAAACGTAGTAAATGTGAAAAATTGGTAAGTTTTAAATATGGTAGAGCCATGCTGCAGCTATATTATGGTTGTAGCTCGATTGGGTTGGCTCGACTGGGAAAAGACCACACTCTCACCGAATACCAGCATAAAATCGCAGCTCAATTCTGCTGTGTTTCGTATGATGAGTGTAGAGAACCAGCAACCCTTTTTACTAGGCATTCCATCTCAGTCCTCAGGGGTGACAACGCATCTTCATTTTGATTCTTAATTGAGTATAAATGTAGTTGTCTATGACACTCAGCATCCATTTATGATCAGGTGGACTGTGTGCTCGTTTGTCATTCCCATGCTATAAAAGAAAAAACAGTATTGATTATGACAAAAGCCTAATATAGTGTCGTCATTTAATTTCCAGATATTACTTTGTGTTGGAATATGAAGAATGCTTGTTAAGACGATCATACAGGCTGTATGATCCTCCAGATGTCGAAGGCTACTTTGACCAGTGTGTTTGGCCTGAACACCTAAAATATAAAGCGGAGGTAATTTATTGTACAAATTTCTTTTAATGACAATTTTTGAAACCATGTAGTGTTTTAGCAATTTTCTCATTTACTTTTTTGATTCCATACACTAGATAATATTTGTTTAGAAGAAATGTATAAATATTTTTTACTAAAACAGAGAACCATAAACCTTTAAACCATGTAACAAAACCAACACTCCTCTCACAGTATATTGGTGTGAAATAGTAGCTTTACACTGCTGAATTTCGTATACTAAGTGTAGAGAACTTGAGACCTTTTTTTATTGAAACAAGTCATTCCATCTTAGTCCTCAGGGGTAATGCATTTGCATTTTGATTCTTAATTGAATATAGACGTATATGTCTAAGGACCACAGCATCCACTTACCATCAGGTGAACTGTGTGCATGTTTGTCACCCATATTCTTTTTAAAACAAACTCAATTACTCTATGACTCTCTCAGAAATGAGAGGCGACCTAGCAGTGAGAATTTTTTAGGCTCCTACAGAAAGAGATTCTCTTTATTTTTTCACAGGCAAAAATATCCGGCAGTCGTATTTGAATAACATAACATCTATATAGATAAACATCAATTGCCGCATGTATGGAAAGATCATCACTTGAGAACGACTGGACCTATTTTGACGATTTTTTTCTGTGCGTTTAGAGTGGGTCTCTGGATAATTTAGATTCACAATTGGACCCGTTACGTGGTGCTGTTGTCGAAATCACATGTGCGAGTCCGGGGTGAATCGCTAGTTAAACAATAAAAATATGTGTATGTTTACAGATCGAGCGAGATGCGCGAGTCACAATACTCGATGGAACGCAGCAAGACTCACTGAGCATTGTTGTACGGGACTTGCAAAATCTGGGGGCCAATTATATATAGCTATGTACGTATGTATATATGTGACAATGGACTGACATATTAAAGGAGCTAAGGTGCTTACATTTTACTTATTTAAGTACTGTTAAATTACAGAGCAGTTCTTATGAATATTGATATAGGTACAAAGTGTACCTACATAAATGAAAAATAAATTCCTATGGCAATAATATCGACTTTTTTTCAATACATATTACAAATAATACTTATTGAAAGTCACTTTTATGATTAATTTACCACTGATTCGGAAAATACCTCTGTCCTGGGAACAAACCAAAAAGATACCAGTGGGACTTTGTTTTCAAAGAACAGTTTACAATTATTTAATATGTTACACAATAATTAACAACACAAAACAAATTAGAAACAGCTGGGTAGCGATTACCTCATTCCCAGGGGTTGTTATCATCGATAAATTACTTAAAATTATAATAACCCTTTTTATACAACCTTTGTTTAATATAGTTAAATTCAAATCGTAAAAGTTAATGTGGTTTGTTTTAAAGAAAGTTTTCTTTAATGCATTATTTATTTATTTACTTATCTTCACGCACAATCCCTGACGGGGTAGCCAGAGAGAACAGATCGCCAAGTGTCACGATCCTTACATACCTCTTTCGCTTCTTTCAGATTCATTATCTTCTTCATACATGCACGTCTAGGTATCCGAGTACTCTTGACCCTCCCCTCTTCGAGCAATTTGCTCACATGGTCTTCAAAGGTTAGTCTCGGTCTACCTCGACACCTTTTAATATTAACTTTCGCGCTATATATTTTCTTTACCATTCGGTCTTCACTCATTCGCTCAACGTGCCCAAACCATCGAAGCACGCCCTTATCAATTTTTGTGATAAGGTCATCTTTCAAACCTGCCATATTGCGAATGTCTTCGTTTCGCTTTCGGTCGGCCATGATAACGCCGCACATTTTACGAAGAGATCGCATCTCCACTGCATTCAACTTGCTTTTATGCTTCTTCTGGCATACCTCTCTGGCTTTAATGCATTGATGTCTATTATAGTTGTATTCATTTTTATGTAAAGATATTCATTCATGATTGCATCAATGGGGTGATATGTAGATTAGCAACTTAGTTTTTTTTTAAAATTATTTTTGGTTGTTATCAGGAAAATGTTGATTAATTTCCATGTGTTGTCTCTTACGATACTTAAGGAATGATATTCATTTTATTTATAGAATCGTGTTATATAGGGGATTCTCTTTTTCTACCGACTTCAAAAAGGAGGAGGTACTTAATTCGAAACTTTGTTCTAGGTGAACCGATTTCGATGATTCTTTTTTTATTATTTGAAAGCTGGTGCTTCTCATGTGGTCTCATATAAATTGATCAAGGTCTGATCAGTAGTTTTTGAGTTATCCTTAATAATTTATATTGAAGTCTGTTGTACATTTTTTCTTTAATTTTACCACTTGTTTTCCTTGTTATAAATCAGTTTTTGAACACAATCTCTTTCTCATTAGTAGAGTATAGATCTATTCACGTCGAACATAAAGATATAGCAGAAAATAATGTATAGTTGTGGTCTGATTTACCAGCGGATGTGAACAAATTTTCTAACCTCTAAGGAAAGTTCATACCTTATTTAAAAAATTATGTTAAAATATATATATACTAGCTGTTCCTCGCGACTTCGCTCGCGTGTAATTTAGGGTTTTAATTTTGTTGCGCAGAATCCTAATCATTTTTCAAAAATATAATTAGCCTAAGTTACTCCTCGTAACGTGAGCTATCTACCAGTGAATGTCCCGTCAAAATCGGTCCAGCCCTTTCGGAGATTAGCCAGAACAAACAGACAGACAGACAGACAAACATTTTAAAAATTGTGTTTTTGGTATAGGTACTGTATATACTTTTATATGCAATTAGTAAAATTACAAACACACACTTCAATTTTATTTATTTGTATGGATATATAACAACATAATAAAAGTTACAATTATTTATCATATTGTAACCTAGCATATATTGTGACAGAAAGTACAGACTGTAACACTTGTGTAACATTTTTATAAAGGAATGGATTAGAATAGAATAGAATGGAATCATTTTTAAACAACTTCAAAAAGGAGAAGGTTCACAATTCGAGTGTGTGTGTGTTTTTTGTATGTATGTATGTATCTTCGCAGATTGTGATCCAATTTTAATGATTATTTTTTTATCAAATAGGTTCCAAATATAAATTTTGAGAAAAAAGTAACTTTTTGTTAAAAGTTATAATTATATTTAATATAGAAGGTAGATTACGAGACTAGTTATTGAAAGCTTTACCACAGTTCGGAATAAAACCTTTGTCCTGGAAATAACCAGTAAGGTTCCCAGCAGGACTCTTTAAAATTATAATAATATGTTGTACAATTAAATAATATGAAAACGTTTAGAAACAGCATGGTGGCGATCATCTCATTCCCAGGGGTTATTATAAAGTCATGTACTATTTCGTAGTATAATGACCCATATTTAACAATTAATGCTAAATAAAAAAAAATGACACAGATAAGTTCTGCTTATTTCTGGGTTTTTATTGTAAAAGCGAAGGAATTACTGACTCTTTGAAGTTGAGTAACTTCAGAGTGTGCTCGTTTTTAAGTAGTTTAATTGATAATCTCGCATGCTGGTCCAATGCAGGATAGCGGACTACATTAGTGTACTAAAAATGACACAGACATCTTGTAGCATATAGTAAATACGAGTACGACATTGACAAGTTTGTTAGGCCAAAAATCACATTCAATACATTTTATATACAATGAGGGTGACAAATGAGCACACAGGACTACCTGATACATTTATCTTTGATAAAGAATCAATATACAGATGCGTTGTCGGCCTTGAGGACTAAGATCATGAAGCAAATACAAAGAGGAGACGTTGTAATTAAATTTCACTATGTAACAACGCGTGACAATTTGCGGGGTGAGGGGATGCAAAGCCCCGCCCACTACACTATCTACATCTACCGATAAATAGTAAAACTACTCGAATATTTTCATATCGATGTTGCAATGTAGCTTAGCTATCTTGACGGTAGATGGCGGCATGTCCACAAAATGTTATTAACTATAAAAATAATATTTGGCAAATTTCTTTATGTCTGAATGCAAAACAAATTTCAGCATCTTCGTATGATTATTTTACCAATACTGAGCCCTACGGACCTTTATATTTTTAGTTCACATGACACAGTGTCGCCATCTAGTGTCGAATATATTTAATTATATTTGAAAGCCGACGCAAAGAGATTTTTCTAGAACTATTTTAATAAATTAGGTGTAAAATTATTTACAAATGAAATGTGATGCCATCCATAACATTAGAGCGTCTATCTGAGTAGTTTTTACACAATAAAACACAATACTTCATCCTTTTCTTCTTAATACTACGAAAATACACCGATTTGCGATTTTTTCAACACATAGCGCACAGGACGAATGCTGACAGTATACTAACTAAAGCCACGCTCACTATGATGACGTTAGGACCTACTTAGAATCACAGTGCACAGTTGCTTATGCCATCTCCCCTTTGTATTAGCTTCATGACTAAGATGGTACGCCTCAGTGGAAAGAGTATCCGGTTCTCTGTATGAGGTGAGTGTAGAGAACCGGAGACCCTTTTTACTAGAAACGAGGCATTCTATCTTAGGCCTCAGGGATGACAACGCATGTGCATTTTGATTCGCAAACGAGGATAGATGAAGATGTATGTGAGCCACAGCTGCAACCTCTTAATATCAGGTGGACTACGTGCTAGCTTGTTATCCTTAAGCCGCGTATCAATTACGCGCTTCTGGCGCGCGCCATGAATGACCGCACCAACAAGTGCTCTCCAAATGTTTCAAAAGTGCATCAACTAAGCGGCAGCTGTTGCAGTGTTTGGCCGTCAACATGGACGTCGGTCGTGTACGAGCAGCTGCCGCTTTCATAGTTCTTCATTATGATAAAAATTACTTTAGCTATTCCACAGCAGTTCTTTTGCACCATACAATTTTATCAATTTATGGCTACTATGGTTATCCATAGCTCGAAATGCAACGTACACACGAATAATGAAAACAACCGAGCTAACTGGCGCGCGCTAGAACTTAAACTACTTTGCTGCGCGGTGAAGAACCGGCACCGGATAGAGCGGTGCGCTCCACGTGTGAGCGTTCCGACGAACACTGGCGCGCGTTCCAAGGCGCGTTCCTATGTAACGCGGCTGGAACGCACTCGAATGTTCCTTCCATCTCTTGGAGCGCGTAATCCATATTTATATTATAAAAAAGGTGTCTGTGAATTTTAATAGCTATTTATCATTAGAGTGACTAAGATCATTTGTCACTTCAGTTTTTCCATTTTTTTGCAATAAAATTTTTTTTAATAAATACATTGATGTATTTATTGAGGTTTGTTAACTTTCTGTGTATGACAGTGGAATAATTTTTTGTTTATGATATTATTGTATTACGTAATTTTTTAATTTTCATTTGTTGTTATTTTAGCTACAAGTAAGTTTGTGAAAAGCTGCCTTAATAATGATAGTACAATTTATCTAAAATTGATCAATAATATAGTAATGTTTATATAATTTAATATTTAATTAAAACTTTAAATAGCGGTATTAATGACAAATGGAATTAGAATTGCTGTTTGAACTTTTAGTGCAAGTGTTAATAAATAAATGAATAAATAAAATAATTAAATAATATAATTTATACTTGCAATTGTTGTCATTTGGTGAAACTCCAGCTTCATTTTTATGATTTTAATAAACTTGTAAATAGTAAAGAACATATTTAAAAAAAATGTTTTTTTTTTTTATATAGAATGAGAGTAACAAACGAGTATAGGTGCAGTCTACCTGATGGTAAGTGTATGGCCCATAGACATTACATCTATCCTCGTTTGCGAATAATATACAGATGCGTTGTCACCCGTGAGAATTAAAATGGAATGCCTTTTTTCCATTAAAAAGGGTTTTCGGTTCTTTACACTCACCATGCGAAACATAGCAGCAATGAGCTGCTATTTTACACTGGTGGCCGTGGTCTTTTCCTGGTCGAGCTGACCTTTTCGTGCTACAACCAGAACATAGTTATAACATGGTTCTTCCACGTATAAAAAAATTATATAATTCTGTTATAGTAATTAGTAAGTTTTATTTGCACCGCGCGTATGCGTACGCATATTATATATTTTTATATGTGTGTACTTAAATGATAATGTGCACTCGTACATGTGTGCGTGCGCGCATTCTTAAATATTTAAGAACATATGTCCGTGTGCGTGTCTCTCTCTGTGTGTGTGTGCGTGTACTCACACGCCGCCGCCGTCGCAGAACTTGCGCGCCTCCCGCGGACTGTCCGCAGCGCGGTGCTCTGCAGGCAGGCGGGACGACTCCTCCGCTTCATCTGCCTGCAGCTTCATCTCCGTCGACCGCTTCATGCGATCCTCCAGCCTGCGATCGTACATTCATTACGCCACTCCAACGCTAAACATACAACTGCCACATACATAGACGACGAACATATTTGATATAGTTGCCACGCTTGGCAAGTCAGTTTGCGTTGCAGTTGCCAATGTTTTTTTTTCCACTTGTTATTAAAAAATGCTTGCTGCCCATCCCCATCTTAAATTTCAATTTCCCTCTACCGTCTCTTATGACGACCAAGTTTATATATTATATTTAAAAAGAAAACATGAAATTGCGTTTGTTTAAAATAAAAAATCATGAAAGCTATATCACTATTTTAAGAAGACTGTTTCTTCTTACAACATTTGTGACAATAAACCACCAAAAACGCAAAGCAAACTATTTTCCTTACAAAAGTTTTTAAATCTAAACTAGCTGGGCAATAACTTTACAGCTAATTACGTTCCTTGAAATAGCTGCTTTAAACTATTATACACACAAAAAATATTTTTAAGCATTTTTTTATGAGAGGAGGTAAACGAGCATACAGCTTACCTGATGATAAATGACTACCACCGCTCATTTAAAAAAAAAAACAATAAACTCTTTTCTTGAAGATCCCCAAGTCGTATCAGAATTCCGATGCTAGCTGGGGCAACGAAAGGAGTGCCTTAAAACAGAGGATATCTTAAAGGGGTTCTTAAACGCGTAAAGAGCAATGGCAGAAAAATAGTTGACAAAAATTATAGCGTCTAGAAATAAGTTATATATAAAATGAGTTTTATTATTTTTCTATGATTTTTCAAATAAAAATGTATTTTAATCAAAGCCACAGAAAAAAACAAACATTTTTGGGAATATCAAATGACTGAAATCATTTTACTCTATTCAAATGTTGCCATTTAGTATATTCCTACTATTTTCGTATACACTTTGTAACACTACCAACACAACACACAAAATATTTTTATATTAAGTTATTATTAGTAATAACTGTACTATCGGTAATAACAAAAATAAAAGTAATATGGCTGAGAATAAGTCTCTTACAAAGAATTTCCTACGGTAATACATTATCTCAATCATAGTACTATGTAACAATTCCATTTAATGTTATGCCAACACTAGCTAAAATAAAATGTCACTGTTTTTTTACTGGATTTATGGCTCTGGGTTCTAGCCCTTCTGAGAATGTCACTATGGTACAAAAGCCCTGGAGCCATGCCAGAAATATACATTTATAGTATGCAAATATATAATAGAGATACAATAATCTAAAAACTTTCATTTATGTATTATGTATTAAGCTAACATCAAACAACCACAGGAAGCATGACTTTTTCCAAGCGACATAGGACATAACCTAAAAAGGTTCAAATGCAAATATCTTTTTTTTGACGCCTTCTCAGTACAAAATTCTTTGACAAAGTTATTAAGGGACTGACGCTTAACATTTTAAGATATTTTTGGTATATAGACGCTACCATTTCTTCTCAACTAATTTTATGTATGAAAGTCTGCCATTGCTCTTTATGTCTTCTGGGGATTAAACTGGACTAGATTTAATCGCCCCCAATCCAATACTTTATTCAACAAGGAACTCAACTTCAGACACAAGTTTATTCCGGCACTCGAAGAAGTATTCCCGAGAAATATTAGCACGGCCGCCGTATATTCACTGTCATCTACATAACAATGAATGTTACTAGATTGTAAGGTATCGTTGATATGCAGAAGGAACAGGGTAGGCGATAGCAGGCAGCCTTGTATTCAACAAGAAACACCAGCATGCACAGGCTTGGTGTCGGAGCATGCACCATCAATTAACAACCTTTATGCTCCGATCTGAGAGAAAACTGATGATTCAATTGCATAATTTATCAGGATCGCCCATAAGATGAAAGCTTTAAAAAACGTTTTGTGCCAAACCTGATCGAAGGCCTTCGCTATGTCCAAACTAACCACCAAAACCTCCCCCTTGAAATTATCGCCTGCGCCCATCTGTGTGTTAGGTAAACAAGAAGATCACCAGCCATGCGACCCCGAATGAAACCGTACTGGCGGTCACTAATCAACTGGTGCTCCTCAAGGTACCGCATGAGCTGGTAGTTAATAATTCTTTCCATTATTTTCGAGAACGCCAGTGGTTGGACGAATCAGAGCGGTTACCTTTTTAGGGATCGGGTGCACGAAAGCTGTCGTCCATGAATTTAGGATTACGCATAGAAAGTAGGAGTACCGGAAAAGACGCATTAGAACCAGTGTCCACTCTGGCATACGACACAATTGTGCTGAGGACAACACAATCGAGGGATTCCGTCAGGCCCACTCAACTTGTGTTGATGTCCAGGGTGCTTTGCGTATTGAGAATTGGACATCAGACATAGAGCACTTATATCGCGGGATGGTCGGTGGTGTGTTCCCCCCGTCATCGAGAGTCGAGTTGGACGCGAAAGGGGAACCTAAAAGGTCGACTTTCTTATTTTCGGTGTGGGCCATTGAGTCGTAAAAGCATGTTTTATAAAAAACTTTTCATTTTCTTTTTTTTGCTTGAACGTTGTAAAAATTCTTTAATTGCACACATTAACAACTGAAAAGGTGTATTTTTAAAATATAATGTCCAGTATAACTTTGAAAGCCAGAAAGGGGGCTCTGTAATACTGGTTTTTATAGCTATATAAGAACATCAATTTCTCACAAGTTAGATGCCAGTCGGGTACTTATTTAATATTTAGCATTAAGATTACCTATTGTGAAGAGAGAATAAATGGATTCGTTCATTCATTTAAACGACATGGTATCTTTTAAAATTATTAAAAACTAACTAATAAACTTTATTACAGAAAATAACATAACCAAAAGTTTTGACTATACAGGGTTATTTTGCAATAACCGGCCAAATATTCAGAGAAGGTTCAGAATAAGTAATATAGGCAAATGATGAAGTAATACTATATGAAAAATCGCAAAAAATCTGACCTTTTTATTTTTTTAATTCAAAATGCGTGATAAAGCATTATTTTAATCGATTTTACTACACACGCACGCCATTGTCAGTGTAGATTGGCGACAAAAACGTGAATTGAATCGCACACAAAGGAGTGCGCGTATACGTGTGCGTAGTTGTTGCCCAAAAGTCACATTCAATTTGGGATAATTTCCAATAAAAGTAGAAGCCTTTTTTACTCGTATTTTCATAAACTGCAATAACTGTATATCATTATTTATATATTTAAAGTTAAGTTTAAAATTTGGCCACTCTTTGAAAAATAACCCGGTATAAATAACCTGTACAAATGAAATGTATCATCTTGTCTTACGTATATATATGTAATATTACGTATATTTACGTATATACGAGTATATGTCCTTTCGTACACCCACCCACTAAGTAATTATTAGACATCGGATTTAATGCATTTGCATATTCAAATACATATAACTCTCTAATTACGGCGTTAATGCTTATTTTAGCCCTTTTTCCCAATCGTGCATATTTCATTTAGTAGCGGGAGGTACGTATGGGAACATAGGTGACGAAGACGTGTAGGGCGCGAGCACAGTGGCTGACTAAACTGACTGGCCAAATTTTAAATTTCGTCCAATGACGTCAATTGATGTAGAGAAGTTTTCGGCGTACAAATTGATATTGAGTGACAAACGTCACTTTCCGCTCGAAAATTTGGAAAAATACTTAATTGTATATTGTGATAAAAACTATGCATAATTTTAAAAACATTTCACTGCTTTTGTACCGTCTTTAATTAAAATATACAAAAATAAAAATGGTTTTTTGATTTTGCATTGTGCATATTTTGGGCATATAGTTTTAAGTGCATATTTCGGCCTTTTTTAGTGCATATTTGTATGTGACGGCACCTGCACCGTTGTAGATGCGGTGGCGTCGGTCTAGCTAAACAGAATTCTTGTAAACGACACGTGTACCGCACACCTGCGGCATTGCACCTGCGTTGCCGCCTGTCCTGCTTGTATAAAACGAACTGAGCGGCCGCCGTTAAGACAGTCTTGGCTCTGATGTGGAACGGTGCGCTTGTCGTATTCCGTTACTAATTTATCCTCGACTCGTTGGATAATTAATTCGTGTAAACGAATTAATTATTATTCCTAACTACAAAATCAGTCTCTGTACTATACCCACTATACGTCCTACATATGCATATTTTGCCACTTTGTTACTGCATATAATCCGATATCTAGTAATTATTTATAAAACTTAAAAAAATAGGTTTAGTATCAGTTACGAAAATGTTCATTTTATCGATATTTTTAACTATTTCATTCTTTCTCTACTATACTTTTATTGTGTATATTTTATATATAAAATGTATATTATATCATCACAAGTGAATGTGACCTTGAGTGTGTATGTATGTGCTGACCTGTTGCCGGCGAGCTCAGGCAGGTCTGAAGGCTGTGGGTAGTGGGCATGTTGGTGGTGGTACTGCTGCTGGTAGTTTTGCTGTGGTGGGGCTGCCACGTGTGCCACGCGTGGCAGCGCGTCGTCTGCGCGCAGCACAGGCAGCGTGCGCGACAGGAACCGCAGCGTCTCGTTGCGGATCAGCTCACTGTACACCATACATCATCATTTAACACACATACTTCTTAAATAGAATAAGGGATAAAAAGTTTTAAATCAAAATACATATGCGTTATCGAGGACAAAGATGAAATGCCTCGTTACCAATACAAAAAATCCGGTGCTCTACCCTCACCATAAAAGTTACAGCCTATATGCGTCCCACTGCTGGGCACAGGCCTCCCCTCATTTCTGAGAGGGTATTAAGGCAAGGAAGTGTCCGCCGCGCTGCCCCAATGCGTGTTGGCGAACTTCACATGTCTTCAAAATATATTTTTTCTTATTCCTCAGACATGCAGATTTCCTCACGATGTTTTCCTTCGCCGCCGAGGACGTGGTAAATCAGCACTTAAAATTGCAATTTACAATTTCATTGGTGCCGGCAGGGATCGAACCCGGTTTGCTCGCGTACTGTGAAATTTACAGCGAGCGCTAACCGTCTGAGCTACCACGGCCCTTACCGTCTGAGCTACCCTCACCATACAAAAACATTATTCCTCTGTCTTACAACGGCAACAGCAACATTCATACGTGGTAGAGCCATGCTGCAGCTATATTAATAGTATATTTGTAGCACGAATGGGTCGGCTCGACCGGAGAAGGACCACGCTCTCACAGAATACCTACGTAAAATATAAGTTTAATGCTGCGGTGTTTCGTATGGTGAGTGTAGAGAACAGGAGCCCCTTTTTATTTACCGGAGAAGAAGGAATCCATCTTAGTCCTCATGGCTGACAACGCATCTGCATTTTGATTCGCAATTGACGATTGATGTCGATGTCTATGGGCCACAGCAACCATTTATCATTAGGTGGACTGTGTGCTCGGTTGTCACTCTCAACTTATAAAAGAAATTGAACTATGCTGCTATTTTTCGTTGATATTCAGTAAGAGCGTAGTCCTTCTTCGGTCGAGCCGACCCATTCGCGCTACAACCATAATATAGCTGCACCATGGTTCGGCATGTGTAAGACTGCTGATTATAAGCTCTTGGGATTCTAGTGAAAATCGGTAATTGAGATTTTCTGTAAGAAATTCTGGTCGGCGTTTCACTCTTGTCCTCTATAATCACGTAAATCCGGTTCGTCTTTTGTGCCGAATCTCGTTGGATCATGTCGTTGAACCTATTCTACGCATATGATGAGTCTGTTGAGACTGGCTACAAAGACCGAAATTCGGTCTGCTGGCCACTTATCGATTGTAGGAAGAAATTAATTCGATTAGTCCTATGCCCGATCTCATTCGCTCATCGGATTGGCGTCCCGTCGTCTACTCTACATCACACATCTACTCTTATACATCCACTATGAAATTCAAGGTAAAGTGAAGGTATAGCAATAGGAATGCAAGTATGCTTGAGCACACTTGTGTACTATAATCCTGTACTGCGCAAGCGTTGAGATTGGCTGTCGTGACCGAAGTTCGGTTTTAATACAAACGTGGGAAATGTGTATAAACAATTTTATCTACGAGTCTGCGTAGAGACAGGTCGCTAAAAGAGAAATTCGATCTGGATGTCGTTACTACGACTGTAGGAAGCTAGGAGGAAACAAGTTAGTAAAGCATATAGGTGTGTTCGTGTGCATGAGTGTGACTCACAAGGGATAGGGCTCCCCGGCGGGCAGCTGGCCCAGCGGGTTGCGCGGGATGAGGCCGCGGTTGAGGTCGCCGCACAGGTTGTGCGCGCTCACAAGTTAGTAAAGCATATAGGTGTGTTCGTGTGCATGAGTGTGACTCACAAGGGATAGGGCTCCCCGGCGGGCAGCTGGCCCAGCGGGTTGCGCGGGATGAGGCCGCGGTTGAGGTCGCCGCACAGGTTGTGCGCGCTCACAAGTTAGTAAAGCATATAGGTGTGTTCGTGTGCATGAGTGTGACTCACAAGGGATAGGGCTCCCCGGCGGGCAGCTGGCCCAGCGGGTTGCGCGGGATGAGGCCGCGGTTGAGGTCGCCGCACAGGTTGTGCGCGCTCACAAGTTAGTAAAGCATATAGGTGTGTTCGTGTGCATGAGTGTGACTCACAAGGGATAGGGCTCCCCGGCGGGCAGCTGGCCCAGCGGGTTGCGCGGGATGAGGCCGCGGTTGAGGTCGCCGCACAGGTTGTGCGCGCTCACAAGTTAGTAAAGCATATAGGTGTGTTCGTGTGCATGAGTGTGACTCACAAGGGATAGGGCTCCCCGGCGGGCAGCTGGCCCAGCGGGTTGCGCGGGATGAGGCCGCGGTTGAGGTCGCCGCACAGGTTGTGCGCGCTCACAAGTTAGTAAAGCATATAGGTGTGTTCGTGTGCATGAGTGTGACTCACAAGGGATAGGGCTCCCCGGCGGGCAGCTGGCCCAGCGGGTTGCGCGGGATGAGGCCGCGGTTGAGGTCGCCGCACAGGTTGTGCGCGCTCACAAGTTAGTAAAGCATATAGGTGTGTTCGTGTGCATGAGTGTGACTCACAAGGGATAGGGCTCCCCGGCGGGCAGCTGGCCCAGCGGGTTGCGCGGGATGAGGCCGCGGTTGAGGTCGCCGCACAGGTTGTGCGCGCTCACAAGTTAGTAAAGCATATAGGTGTGTTCGTGTGCATGAGTGTGACTCACAAGGGATAGGGCTCCCCGGCGGGCAGCTGGCCCAGCGGGTTGCGCGGGATGAGGCCGCGGTTGAGGTCGCCGCACAGGTTGTGCGCGCTCACAAGTTAGTAAAGCATATAGGTGTGTTCGTGTGCATGAGTGTGACTCACAAGGGATAGGGCTCCCCGGCGGGCAGCTGGCCCAGCGGGTTGCGCGGGATGAGGCCGCGGTTGAGGTCGCCGCACAGGTTGTGCGCGCTCACAAGTTAGTAAAGCATATAGGTGTGTTCGTGTGCATGAGTGTGACTCACAAGGGATAGGGCTCCCCGGCGGGCAGCTGGCCCAGCGGGTTGCGCGGGATGAGGCCGCGGTTGAGGTCGCCGCACAGGTTGTGCGCGCTCACAAGTTAGTAAAGCATATAGGTGTGTTCGTGTGCATGAGTGTGACTCACAAGGGATAGGGCTCCCCGGCGGGCAGCTGGCCCAGCGGGTTGCGCGGGATGAGGCCGCGGTTGAGGTCGCCGCACAGGTTGTGCGCGCTCACAAGTTAGTAAAGCATATAGGTGTGTTCGTGTGCATGAGTGTGACTCACAAGGGATAGGGCTCCCCGGCGGGCAGCTGGCCCAGCGGGTTGCGCGGGATGAGGCCGCGGTTGAGGTCGCCGCACAGGTTGTGCGCGCTCACAAGTTAGTAAAGCATATAGGTGTGTTCGTGTGCATGAGTGTGACTCACAAGGGATAGGGCTCCCCGGCGGGCAGCTGGCCCAGCGGGTTGCGCGGGATGAGGCCGCGGTTGAGGTCGCCGCACAGGTTGTGCGCGCTCACAAGTTAGTAAAGCATATAGGTGTGTTCGTGTGCATGAGTGTGACTCACAAGGGATAGGGCTCCCCGGCGGGCAGCTGGCCCAGCGGGTTGCGCGGGATGAGGCCGCGGTTGAGGTCGCCGCACAGGTTGTGCGCGCTCACAAGTTAGTAAAGCATATAGGTGTGTTCGTGTGCATGAGTGTGACTCACAAGGGATAGGGCTCCCCGGCGGGCAGCTGGCCCAGCGGGTTGCGCGGGATGAGGCCGCGGTTGAGGTCGCCGCACAGGTTGTGCGCGCTCACAAGTTAGTAAAGCATATAGGTGTGTTCGTGTGCATGAGTGTGACTCACAAGGGATAGGGCTCCCCGGCGGGCAGCTGGCCCAGCGGGTTGCGCGGGATGAGGCCGCGGTTGAGGTCGCCGCACAGGTTGTGCGCGCTCACGTGCGGCCGCGCGCCGCTGCCCGCGCACTCCGCGTTCGACTGCCTGTACGGCGGCGGCCGGACCCTGTACCAATCACACTTCAATTGTTTACGCTGTGTTTAACAAACACGCAGCACACGAGGCTTATACACTAGAGCCACACTGCAGCTAGTATGGTTGTAGCACGAATGAATCTGCTCGACCGGGGAAGGACCACGCTCTCGCAGAATACCAGCGTGAAATACCTCATCACTGCTGTTTCATGTAATGAGTGTAGTACTTGAGACCCTTTTTTTATATAGGAGAGGGGGAAAACGAACATGCGGCTCACTTGATGGTAAGTGGCTACCGCCGCCCAAGAACAACCGCAACACCAGGAGAATTGCAAATACGTTGCCGGCCTTTTAAAAAGGAGTAGGCTCTTTTCTTGAAGGTCCCTAAGTCGTATCGGTCCGGAAAAATCGCTGGTGGTAAACTATTCCACAAGGAAGTCGTGCGAGGAAGAAAACATCTTCTAAATCGCACAGTGGTGGACCGCCAATCATCCAGATGGTGTGGATAGTATCGGGAGTTCTGCCGCGATGTGCGTTCGTGAAATTTGGCGGCTGGGTTTAATCCGAACAATTCCTCAGAGCACTCCCCATGGTAGATGCGAAATAAAATGCAAAGAGATGCAACATCTCTTCGCAGTGCATATGAGTCGAGCCGATCGGAAAGGACTCGGTCGTCGACGATTCGAGCCACTCTGCGCTGGACGCGGTCAAGTGGAAGGAGCTGGCACTGGGGAGCCCCAGCCCAGAGATGGGAACAGTATTCTATGTGAGGCCGAACCTGCGCCTTGTAAAGTTGCAGGCGTTGAGCTGGCATGAAATACTGTCCCGCTCTACTGAGCAAGCCAAGCTTTTTAGAGGCCAATTTGGCCTTCTCTTCCAAGTGACCACGAAACTGCACGTCACTCGATATGTAGACTCCGAGGATTCCGATACTGGCTGAGGCAAGAAGGGGAGTGCCTTGAAACTGAGGAGGACAAAGAGGTTTTTTTTTAGCGGTAAACGCGCAACCTTGTGTCTTCTGAGGATTAAACTGGACTAGATTTAGTCACCCCCAATCCGAGACTTCGTTCAGTAAAGACTCGACTACAGACACAAGTTTGTTCCGGTACTCGGCGACGTTTTCCCGAGAAATATGGGCACGGCCGGTGTAGAGAGTAGAGCATCACCAGTGCTGTCGTCCGCATAGCAATGAATGTTACCAGTTAGCAACATACCATTGATATGCAGAAGAAACAGCGTTGGTGATAACACACAGCCTTGTGGAACACCAGCATTAATAGGCTTGTAGTCGGAGCATGCACCGTCTACAACGACCTTGATGCTCCGATCTGCAAGAAAGCTGGTGATCCAATTGCATAATTTCTCGGGAAGCCCATAGGAAGGGAGCTTCGAAAGAAGCGCTTTGTGCCAAACCCGATCGAAGGCCTTCGCAATGTCCAAACTAACGGCCAATGCCTCCCCCTTGGACTCTACTGCCTCCGCCCATCTATGAGTTAAGTAGACCAGAAGATCACCAGCTGATCGACCCCGACGAAAACCGTACTGGCGGTCACTAATCAGCTGGTGATCCTCAAGGTACCGCATGAGGTGGCAGTTTATAACGGATTCCATTATTTTGGAGAACAAGGGGGTGATGGCGATAGGCCTGTAGTTGGACGGGTCTGAGCGGTCGCCTTTTTTAGGGATCGGGTGGACAAAAGCTGTCTTCCATGATTTCGGGACTACGCGTAGGGAGTAGGAGTACCGGAAAAGACGCGTTAGGACCGGTGCCAACTCCGGAGCACACGTCCTCAGCACAATTGGGGGGATTCTGTCAGGCCCACTCGACTTGTGGATGTCAAGGGAGAGGAGTGCTCTGCGAACCGAGCACTGTGAGAACCGCACATCCGGCATGGAAGCACTCACACCGCAGGATGGTCGACGGTGTGTTCCCCCCGTCATCAACAGTCGAGTTGGACGCAAAAAGGGAGCCTAAAAGGTCGGCTTTCTCTTTTGCGTCGTGGGCCAGTGAGTCGTCCTCCCTGTGCAGAGATGGTAGTGATGGCTTACAGAAATTCCCTTGGACAGCCTTGGCGAGAGACCAGAATGCACGGGTTCCCGAAGGACTCTCTGACTTTTCCTTGGCAATAACTCTTTTGAAGGACCTGGAGGCGAAGTTATACTTCTTTTTAAGTATGCTGGTGTTTACATCCCGAGTCGCCGAAGCCGCAGCCCAGGCTTGATAACACTTTTGCTTACTGCGTAAAGCAGTCTTACATGAGCGACCAAACCAAGGCTGAGATCTGCCTCCGATGGGTACCACAGATGATGGAATAAATAGTTCCATTCCCTGTAGCACCACATCAGTGACAGAGTCAGCAACAGCACTGGGATCATCCGGCGAGAAGCAAACCCGCCCCCATGGGTAGGAAGCAAAGAAAGATAGCATTCCGTCTCAATCCGCCGACCTGTAATGCCAAACACGGCGGCAACCTGCAGAACGCAACCGCGAGGGGAGCGTGAGTGGCACCACACTCCGGATCAGACAATGGTCCCAAGAGCCAAGAGGGGCATCGACGGAAACCTGTTATCCGTCCGGATGAGAGGTCAGCAGAAGGTTCAACAGGGAAGGTGTATGATCCTCAATATCTGGAATCCGCGTAGGCGATGTAACCAATTGTGTCAGAGCATATGCCAAGGCAAAGTCATAAACAGATCTCCCCGCATGATCGGTTAAACGTGAACCGAGCCATTCGGCGTGGTGGGCGTTAAAATCGCCGAGGATCACGATTTCTGCGGATGGGACCTGTTGTAGCAAGGAATCTGTAGCCATTTGGTCGATGAGTCGGTCTGTTTCGGCAGTACCGCTATCGGACCTATAGAGGCACACATAGACGCGCGGATGGTCGTCGCTGTCTACGCGTAGCCAAAGGATGGACTGGTCAGAACCTTCAAGACTGCCGTGGCGTCGAGAACAGATGTCCTCTCTGACATACACGCAAACTCCAGCCCGAGGCACAAAGGAGTGCTCCAATTTGTACCCCGGGTAGGAGAGATACGAAGTATCAGCCGGAGAGGACACCTGCGTCTCGGCCAGAAAGAGCAAGGCCGGCTTCGCCGTCTCGAGATGGTAGTAGACGGCGTTTAGGTTCGAGTGAAGTCCCCTGATGTTGCAGAAATTCACGGATAGCGTGGCAGGGGTCGCCTTGGTCTTGTTGCTTAGTTTGCCCCGAGCAGTTATTGTGTTGATCGGAATTATGCCCCCCCCTTCCCACCCCCCCACAATGGGCGAGGCAGCCTGAGCACCCACGTTCAGGAGTGGAATATGCATGGTCGTGGATGCTCAGCGAGGGATTCTCCAGGGGTACTAGTACCCTCCTGGGGTAGTTTATGATGTAATTCCGCTACCATGTTGATGGGGGGAGGGGGAATTGGGCTTCCGGTCACCTGCACTCACCAGACGAAACGCGGAAGCAGAGCTTCCACTTCACGCCGGTATTCTGTGAGGTCGTGGTACTAACCCGGCTCGAGCCGGCCCATACGTGCATCAGCAAAAGCTGCTGCGTGGCTCTACCACCGTTAATTTAATTTTTACTGGAAACGAGTCATTCCATGTTAGTTCTCAGGGGTTCTCAGTTTCAATCTGCATTTTAATATTTAATCGAGGATAGATGTAATGTCTATGGGCTGCATCCCCTAGCCATCGGGTGAACTGTATGCTCGTTTTCACCAATCGGTCCACCTGATGATAATTGGATACTATGGCCCATTTATCCTCGATTAAGAATCGCAATGCAGATGCATTGTCATCACTGAGGATTATGGAATACGTTTCCAGTAAAAAATTTCGCCGGTTCTCTACACTTGTCATACGAAACACAGAAGCATTCAGCCAGTTTACGCTGATATTATGTGAACGCTTGATCCTTCCCCGCTTGAGCAGACCCATTCGTGCTACAACCATAATAAATTATAGAATATATATTTCGTCCAATTATTTTTAAATTTTTTCAATTTCAGATATACAAGGTTAGTTTTGAAAGAGTAGCCAAATTTTAAACTCAAGTTCAAATATAGAAATAATGATTTACCGTTATTGCAGTTTTTGAAAATACGAGAAAATAAGATTTTTCGGCACAACTACACGTACGCGCGCTCCTCTGTGAACGATTCAATTTACAACGTTTTTGCTGACCGTTACGAATGTGTGCGTGCGTAGTAAAATAGTAGGCGTTAGATATTTATAAATGACAATCAGTTAAAAAATGCGTTACCACGCATTTTGAATTTGAAAATATGAAAAGGACAAAATTTTTGAGATTTTTAAATTAATTTTTCTTTACCATTTGCCTAAATTACTTATTCTGAACCTTCTCTGCAAATTTGGCTGGTTATTGCAAAATAACCCTGTAAATATTCATAGAATAGGACACAACATGAATAATCGTTACAACGTAAACATAAATTACAACCTTACTTAATATAAAAGTGATTTTTTTTAACCTATTTGATTCATACAAATGTAACTTTTAATTTACATTGTATTATATTTTATGGATAACTTTTATCTGATTTGTCAAAAATCTGCCTTTTTGCAATATTCATCATCATCATCATCATCATTTCAGCCCTTCACAAGTCCACTGCTGAACATAGGCCTCCCCCAAAGAATGCCACAAAGCACGGTCCTGAGCCACCTGCATCCATCGACTTCCTGCATGTCTTACCAGGTCGTCACTCCATCTCGTGGGGGACGCCCTACACTTCGCCTACCGGTACGAGGCTGCCACTCGAGAACCTTTCTTCCCCATCGGTTGTCGGTTCTTCGAGCTATATGGCCGGCCCACTGCCACTTCAGCTTACTAATCCGTTGGGCTATGTCGGTTACTCTGGTTCTACTACGGATATTCTCATTCCTAAGTTTATCACGCAGAGAAACTCCGAGCATAGCCCTCTCCATAGCTCGCTGAGCAACCTTGAGCTTCCTCATACGGCTAGCAGTGAAGGACCACGTCTCAGTTCCGTAAGTCATCACTGGCAACACGCACTGGTTGTACAATTTCGTTTTAAGGTTTTGAAGTATGTCTGACGAGAAGATGTGTCGTAGCTTCCCGAACGCTGCCCAGCCGAGTTGAATCCGTCGATTGACCTCTCGGTCGAAGTTGGACTTACCTAGTCGGACTATTTGTCCCAGGTAAACATACTCGTCAACAACTTCGAGCTTAGTGCTCCCAACAACTACCGGCATAGGTGTGACATGGACATTAAACATGATCTTTGTTTTGTCCATGTTCATCTTAAGACCTATCCGTTGGGAAACACTATTGAGGTCATTGAGCATAGTGCTTAGGTCCTCCAGCGATTCTGCCATAAGGACTATATCGTCGGCAAATCGAAGGTGAGTGATGTAGTCGCCATTGATGTTGATACCGTATCCTTTCCAGTCCAGAAGCTTGAAAACGTCTTCCAATGCAGCGGTGAAGAGTTTCGGGGATATGACGTCACCCTGTCTTACACCTTTCTGCAATTGGATAGGTTTCGTACTCTGGTTCTGTACTCGGATAGCCATCGTAGCCCTCCTGTACAAGCACTTCAACACTTCGATATACCGACAGTCAACTTGGCACCGCTGAAGGGACTGCAGCACCGCCCAAATTTCGACGGAATCAAAGGCTTTCTCATAGTCCACATACGCCAGACATAGTGGCAAATTGTACTCTTCGGACTTCTGTACAATTTGCCGAAGGGTATGTATGTGGTCTATGGTGCTAAAGCCCTTTCGGAAACCGGCTTGTTCGGGAGGCTGGAAGTCGTCAAGTCTGCGCGCGAGACGATTCGTAATGACTCTCGAAAACAGCACGTAGACGCGGCTCACAAGGGAAATCGGACTGTAGTTCTTCAAGAGAGCGTTGTCACCTTTCTTGAAGAACAAGACCACCGCACTTCTGCTCCACGCCTCCGGTGTAATGCCACCATTGAGGACGGAGTTAAAGAGCTTCTGAAGGACTTCAAGTACCGGTCTTCCACCTTCTGAAAGCGAAGCTCCGCTGTAATTCCATCCTCGCCTGGGGCCTTACCGTTTTTAAGGTGCTGGAGAGCCATTCTAATCTCGCTCAGACTGACATCCGGGATATCTTCGGAATAGTGTCGGATGAGACTCGCTCTTGGATCGTTACTCACACTTGCGTGTGGCTCCAACGATGATGTGTACAGCTGCCCATAGAACCTCTCAATCTCACTCAAAATCTCAGGTGTCCCGGAAACGATGCTACCACATTCTGTCTTCAGCTATGACAGGTGGCTCTTTCTGGCAGACAGATCTCTGGCAAAGACTTTGGAGCCTTGGTTCCGCTCGATCGCTTCTTCAATACGAGCTGTATTGAAGTTGCGTAAGTCCCGCCGAATGCATTTGGAGATCTGTCTGTTCAGATGCCTGTATGCTGTCAAATCTGTTGAAGAATGTAGCTTCATCTCCCGTCTAACAGCCATGAGATTAAGAGTGTGATCGGAGAGTTTTTGTGTTCTTCTGCGGCGGGTCTTGCAGAACTTAGCTCCGACCGCATGGACAGTTTCCACGAGCTTGTCATTCATATCGTCCACTTCATTGCAGTCTTCCAGGCAGTGAAAACGGTTTTGTAACTCGAGCTGAAAGGTTTCGGGACTTTGGAACAGAGCACGAGGGGGACGGAGCGTTGATTTCATTAGACGAGACCTCTCCAACTTAACGTTTAGGTTCAGTGTGCCTCTAACCATTCGGTGATCGCTACCAGTTTTCACCCTCGCGATCACGGAGACATCACTGAACAGTTGTCGTCTGGTCGTCATAATGAAGTCAATCTCATTTTTTGTGGAACCGTCGGGGCTCGACCAGGTCCACTTCCTGTGGGGCCGCTTCTGGAAGAAAGACTTCATCATAAAGAGTCCCTCTTTCTCCATGAAGTCGGCCAGCTGCTGGCCCCTTGGGTTCCGTTGCCCTATTCCAAATTTCCCTACTTTCAGCTCACCGTTCTCTCTTGTGCCTAGTTTTGCATTGAAGTCTCCCATTAACACCGTATTTTGGGTTTTGGGGGAATGCATGGCTCTAGAGATATCCTCATACATTTCCTCCACCTCCTCATCGGGGTGTGCCGAGGTTGGTGCGTAAACCTGTATGACCTTCAGCGAATACCGTTTGGTGATTCTGAGTGTAAGGTACGCAACCCTCGTCGACACACTCCCGATCTTTACAACGTTGTTAACGAGAGACTTGTGGACGATAAATCCGACACCTCCTTGGGACAGATGGTCGCCCTCCCGGTGATAGAGCAAGTTGCCGGATTCAAGGATTACCGTGTCCTCCCCATCTCTTCGGACTTCGGATAATCCTATAATATGCCAGCGCAACTTGTCTATCTCTTCTTCCAGCTCCACGATCTTCTCGTCAGTCCTCAGGGTGCGTGCGTTGTACGTTGCCAGGTCGAGTCGTCTAAGGTGGCAACCGAACCTCCACCAGAGATTCTTAGCACCCCCTTGCAATATTAATAAAGTCCAAAGTCAAAGTTTTAAATCATGACTTCTCTTGTGTGGAACCTAATGATAAATTGTCTTCCTTTTAAGAAGTAGTAAAGTTATCCCAACAAGTGAATGAACTTGAAAGGCCTTTAATTCACTCTTTGGAGTGTTACCTTATTTAAAAGTTGTATATTATTATCATAATCATTTCTAACTAAACAATATATGTAACTCTTGCAAATTTAAAACGATATTTCCACAATTATTTCTTCTGCGGTAGCAATGTACCAGCTAGTACTTAATAAAATTCTTCATATTTTTCTTTCTGGAATACAAAAAAAACTGTTAAAAGTTTTGCAACGCTTCGTAAGCCTTGCTTCATTACCTCGGCGGCGTAGCATTAGGTGATTCTACAAAAGCATAGTAGCCCTCCGGGGGCTCTTCATTTTCTTCTGTGGTTGATGACGTCACTGGCACCTGTTGAGCCACAGCACTGCAGAACAACGCTGCCACAATCTGACGATCAAAAACATACATTCACTTTACAATTTGTTTTCAGTTTTTCAAATTTTAAGCCGAATGGAACGAAGCTATGTGTTTCGTTTTCAAAATTATTACTTTCTTTGAAGAACTGGCGATAATCGAAGAACGGTTAGACTGCTATAATATCCGACATTGCTGTGACAGATACATCGCAGTACAGTTGCCTCTGAGAAAGTTTTGATTGATCCGTCTCCTGACTGATAAAAGTGTGTTTTAATTTTGTTATTTGTATGCACATTAATTTTATTATCATCATCATCATTACAGCCCTTCACAAGTCCACTGCTGAACATAGGCCTCCCCCAAAGAATGCCACAAAGCACGGTCCTGAGCCACCTGCATCCATCGACTTCCTGCATATCTTACCAGGTCGTCTCTCCATCTAGAGGGGGGACGCCCTACACTTCGCCTGCCGGTACGAGGCTGCCACTCGAGAACCTTTCTTCCCCATCGGTTGTCGGTTCTTCGAGCTATATGGCCGGCCCATTGCCACTTCAGCGTACTAATCCGTTGGGCTATGTCGGTCACTCTAGTTCTACTGCGGATATCCTCATTTCTGAGTTTATCACGCAGAGAAACTCCGAGCATAGCCCTCTCCATAGCTCGCTGAGCGACCTTGAGCTTCCTCATCCGGCCAGCAGTGAAGGAGCACGTCTCAGTTGCGTATGTCATCACTGGCAACACGCACTGGGTGTACAGTCTCGTTTTCAAGTTTTGAGGTATACCTGACGAGAAGATGTGCCGTAATTTCCCGAACGCTGCCCAACCGAGTTGCATCCGTCGATTGACCTCTCGGTCGAAGTTGGACTTACCTAGTCGGACTATTTGTCCCAGGTAAACATACTCGTCAACAACTTCGAGCTTAGTGCTCCCAACAACTACCGGCATAGGTGTGACATGGACATTAAACATGATCTTTGTTTTGTCCATGTTCATATTAAGACCTATCCGTTGGGAAACACTATTGAGGTCATTGAGCATAGTGCTTAGGTCCTCCAGCGAATCTGCCATAAGGACTATATCGTCGGCAAATCGAAGGTGAGTGATGTACTCGCCATTGATGTTGATACCGTATCCTTTCCAGTCCAGAAGCTTGAAAACATCTTCCAATGCAGCGGTAAAGAGTTTCGGGGATATGACGTCACCCTGTCTTACACATCTCTGCAATTGGATAGGTTTCGTACTCTGGTTCTGTACTCGGATAGCCATCGTAGTCCTACTGTACAAGCACTTCAACACTTCGATATACCGACAGTCAACTTGGCATCGCTGAAAGGACTGCAGCACCGCCCAAATTTCGACGGAATCAAAGGCTTTCTCATAGTCCACATACGCCAGACATAGTGGCAAATTGTACTCTTCGGACTTCTGTACAATTTGCCGAAGGGTATGTATGTGGTCTATGGTGCTAAAGCCTTTTCGGAAACCGGCTTGTTCGGGAGGCTGGAAGTCGTCAAGTCTGCGCGCGAGACGATTCGTAATGACTCTCGAAAACAGCACGTAGACGCGGCTCAGAAGGGAAATCGGTCTGTAGTTCTTCAAGAGAGCGTTATCGCCTTTCTTGAAGAACAAGACCACCGCACTTCTGCTCCACGCCTCCGGTGTAATGCCACCATGGAGGACGGAATTAAAGAGCTTCTGAAGGACTTCAAGTACCGGTTTTCCACCCGCTTTCAGAAGCTCCGCTGTAAATCCATCCTCGCCTGGGGCCTTGCCGTTTTTAAGGTGCTGGAGAGCCATTCTAATCTCGCTCAGACTGACGTCCGGGATATCATCGGAATAATGTCGGATAAGACTCGCTCTTGGATCGTTACTCACACTTGCGTGCGGCTCCAACGATGACATGTACAGCTGCCCATAGAACCTCTCAATCTCACTCAAAATCTCAGGTGCCCCGGAAACGATGCTGCCACATTCTGTCTTCAGCTTTGACAGTTGGCGCTTTCTGGCAGACAGATCTCTGGCAAAGACTTTGGAGCCTTGGTTCCGCTCGATCGCTTCTTCAATACGAGCTGTATTGAATTTGCGTAAGTCCCGCCGCATGCATTTGGAGATCTGTCTGTTCAGTTGCCTGTATGCTGTTAAATCTGTTGAAGAATGTAGCTTCATCTCCCGTCTAACAGCCATGAGATTAAGAGTGTGATCGGAGAGTTTTTGTGTTCTTCTGCGGCGGGTCTTGCAGAACTTAGCTCCGACCGCATGGACAGTTTCCACGAGCTTGTCATTCAAATCGTCCACTTCATTGCAGTCTTCTAGGCACTGAAAACGGTTTTGTAACTCGAGCTGAAAGGTTTCGGGACTTTGGATTAGAGCACGAGGGGGACGGAGCGTTGACTTCATTAGACGAGACCTCTCCAACTTAACGTTTAGGTTCAGTGTGCCTCTAACCATTCGGTGATCGCTGCCGGTTTTCACCCTCGCGATCACTGAGACATCACTGAACAGTTGTCGTCTGGTCGTCATAATGAAGTCAATCTCATTTTTTGTCGAACCGTCGGGGCTCGACCAGGTCCACTTCCTGTGGGGCCGCTTCTGGAAGAAAGAGTTCATCATAAAGAGTCCCTCTTTCTCCATGAAGTCAGCCAACTGCTGGCCCCTTGGGTTCCGTTGCCCTATTCCAAATTTCCCTACTTTCAGCTCACCGTTCTCTCTTGTGCCTAGTTTTGCATTGAAGTCTCCCATTAACACCGTATATTGGGTTTTGGAGGAATGCATGGCTCTAGAGATATCCTCATACATTTCCTCCACCTCCTGATCGGGGTGTGCCGAGTTTGGTGCGTAAACCTGTATGACCTTCAGCGAATACCGTTTGGTGATTCTGAGTATAAGGTACGCAACCCTCGTCGACACACTCTCAATCTTTACAACGTTGTTAACGAGAGACTTGTGGACGATAAATCCGACACCTCCTTGGGACAGATGGTCGCCCTCCCGGTAATAGAGCAAGTTGCCGGATTCGAGGATTACCGTGTCCTCCCCCTCTCTTCGGACTTCGGATAATCCTATAATATGCCAGCGTAACTTGTCTATCTCCTCTTCCAGCTCCACAATCTTCTCGTCAGTCCTCAGGGTGCGTGCGTTTTATGTTGCCAGGTCGAGTCGTCGTAGGTGGCAACCGAACCTCCACCGGAGATTCTTAGCACCCCCTGCCCCGCCGTTACCATGGTCGCCACCGTAGCCAGGAATAGCGGGGCCGCCGGGGACTGGGGGCCGTTTATTATTGTCATTACTCATTGGGGGTATATTGCCATAGTTGCCACGCTTGGCGAGCGGGTTGGCAACCGCAGTTTTTTATTGTTATTTTGGCTATTATCAGGAAGATGCTGCTGCCCATCTCCTGCCTGTTTCCCTTTGTCGCCTTTTACGACACCCATGGGAAGATATGGGGTTTTATTATATATATATATATATATATATATATATATATATATATATATATATTATATTCTAAAATTGTGGAGATTGATTTTAAATTCATTGATTTTACTGGATGTAGGTGTAATTTGCCTCAATAAAGATGATGATGATTATTATTATTATTTGTCACTTGTACCACTTGAATGCTTATTAATTAAACAATTACATATAATAGTAACAAGTAATTTACGATATTTTCAATTTGTGAACATATTTAGGGTGTCACCACACCGACCGATTGTGGAATGGATTAGTCAATCGATAGTTTCTACCACACCGATCGATCGATGGTAGAATAGATTATTCGCCAACGATCGAGCTGCTTGATTATTAGAGAAATGGCCCCGCTCCAGCGACCGCTATTGAAAATGTCGTCTAGGTGAAATAAGCTATCTCTTGTCTTAAAAAAACGGTCGCATCCAGATTCTTCTGCATTTGCGTCTCTGTAATAATAATACGAGCTAAAACGTAGGTACTGGCCAACAATGCGCCCTCTTCTGAATACATTTTAAAAAATACACAACAATACCACAACGGTTGTGGGCTCATCATAAGTATTTTTTAAACTTTACTCCTACTCCCAAGGCGTAGTCCCGAATTCATGGAAGACAGCTTTTGTCCATCCGATCCCTAAAAAAGGCGACCGCTTAGACGCGTCCAACTACAGACCTATCGCCATCACCTCCTTGTTCTACAAAATAATGGAATCCATTATTAACCGCCAGCTCATGCGGTACCTTGGGGATCACCAGCTGATTAGTGGCCGCCAATACGGTTTTCGTCGGGGTCGATCAGCTGGTCATCTTCTGGTCTACCTGACCCATATATGGGCGGAGGCAGTAGAGTCCAAGGAGGAGGCGTTGGCCGTTAGTTTGGACATTGCGAAGGCCTTCGATCGGGTTTGGCACAAAGCGCTTCTTTCGAAGCTCCCTTCTTATGGGCTTCCCGAGAAATGGTGCAATTGGATCACCAGCTTCCTTGCAGATTGGAGCATCAAGGTCGTTGTAGACGGTGCATGCTCCGACTACAAGCCTATTAACGCTGGTGTTCCACAAGGCTGTGTGTTATCACCAACGCTGTTTCTTCTGAATATCAATGATATGTTGCTAACTGGTAACATTCATTGCTATGCGGACGACAGCACTGGTGATGCTCTATACACCGGCCGTGCCAATATTTCTCGGGAAAACGTCGCCGAGTACCGGAACATACTTGTGTCTGTAGTCGAGTCTTTACTGAACGAAGTCTCGGATTGTGGGTGACTAAATCTAGTCCAGTTTAATCCTCAGAAGACACAAGGTTGCGCGTTTACCGCTAAAAAAAACCCCTTTGTCCTCCTCAGTTTCAAGGCACTCCCCTTCTTGCCTCAGCCAGTATCGGAATCCTCGGAGTCTACATATCAAGTGACGTGCAGTTTCGTGGTCACTTGGAGGAGAAGGCCAAATTGGCTTCTAAAAAGCTTGGCGTGCTCAGCAGAGCGGGACAGTATTTCATGCCGGCACACGGCCTGCAACTTTACAAGGCGCAGGTTCGGCCTCACATGGAATACTGTTCCCATCTCTGGGCAGGGGCTTCCC